GGTTCATTGGCCAAAATGGAACAAGAATAAGGCCTTGTGGAATCTTGAGCAACAAAAGGTGCCAATGCTGAATTCTGGCAGCAGTAGAACCTGGACTTTGCTCGCCATTTTGACCTTCCAAACTCGAGAACTGGACTTCCCTCATAACATGAAAGATTTAGAGCTCTGAATCAGCTTTCCAAATCTTCAAATGGTTTGTCATTCGGAGCTCGGAGCAGAGAGTTATGGCCTTGTTACCAGAGGTACGCAGAACTGCCTGGCAGCAATGAAATTCTGCCTTGATCTTCATTTTCGACCAACCATCCTTGAGAATTGGATCTCCACCAAAACATGAAATATTTAGAGCTCTGAATTAGCTTTCTAAATCTTCAAACGGTTCATCATTCGGAGTTCGGAGCGCAAAGTTATGGCTGTTTAACCGAAGTAGGTCTGGGCGGAGCAAGGCAAGAATGGAGCATTCTGCTCCAATTTCGAGTGCTCGAGCCCTTATTTCGAGTGCTCGAACTTAGGGCAGAATTGCATCCGGAAATGGCCCATTTTCAGCCACTTGCATCTTGGGTTCCTCAATTCTAATTTCCCTCTTTAATGGTTGGTTGGAGATGTTGGTTGGTGGGGGTTTCTAGAGCCTTATCTCTAGAAGATAAGAGAGGGAAGCCACACAATATGATTAAGCTTCATTTTGCAAGATTAGAGGAGAGAGAAGAGAGCAAGGAGGGTGTGTTCTTGAAGCCAAAGGAAGGGAGCTCGAAAATGGCTTATTCTTCCAAGCTTCCTTCTTCCATTTTTGTATCCATGGATAACTAAACCTCCATCTAGGGAGGTGATGAAGCTCTCTCTTGTAAGCATGCTTTAATTTCATCTAATTTGGGGAATGATTCATGTACATGGTAGTTTCATGATTTAGAGCACTTACACTTGTTGTAATGGATTTCAATGCCTATAAATGATCATGTTGAGTTCTTATCTTGTCTTAGATTTTATCCTCTCATGATTATATAACTTGCATCTTCATAGTGAGAATGGAAATGAAATTGTGAAATGGGTTTAAAGGCATGTTGTATGAGAAATTTGTTAATCCATAGCTTAAGACTTCCTTTTGATGGATTAATCTTGTATCTTGACTTCATGTGCTATTACCATAGTGATTAAGGGGTTTGATGGTCCCTAGCTTAGTGAGCATGTTATGGCTACACCCTAATCTAGGTAGTTCTAGCATGTGGCTCTTTGAGGGATTATACTTAAATCTTGATCCTATGATTTTCTTGAGGATAATGTAGCAATCTAGTATTACTACATATCATTGCCATGTAGTGAAATTGTTTCCCAAGTTAATAGAAATTTAGTATGTTTATAGGATTGGTGGTGAATTCACTTCCCTAGACCTCCTTTTCTAGACTTCTTCTTCTTAAATTCCTTGCATTTATTTCTTTAAGCACATTTCAATTCTAGTGACTAAGTGACAAACCAACAAAACTCTATATACCCCCTCATCATTCTAAAAGTAATCTAGACTCTTAGGTTGCCATAGACTAGCGCAGTCCCAGTGGTTCGACTTACCCGACCAATAGCCCTATTTTACAATGATTCGTGCTATTGCGAAGGTTGATGTTAATTGACCAACCGATCAATAGCACATGGAATCCATCGAAGCAAATATAACATAAGTATAAGATACATGATTCAATTGTATACTAAACAACACATGTGTGAATAAACCATTCCGAAACAAATGAGCATGTTCATTAAGCACATTAATGAAACCAAGATACAAGAAGTCTAGATACATGATATCAAGGCATGATTAACTCGAGGGAGACATAAAAGGAAATTTAATCTACTTAAGGGATTAAATTATCAAGGTTACATGGCAAGTCCAAATGTTCTATGAACAAGTTATTTTAAGGGTCATGTCAGGGCCAAGTTCATTGTCAAGTTACAAGTCCATTACATACAAGATGCAACCATGTGAGGGAATTAATTAAATATAAGTTTGAAGACTTATCCTGTAATACCCCATATATTTAAAGGATTTATTTAAATTACTTCTGTATTAGGTTAATTATTTAATGTGTAGATTTATTCACCTTTTCATTGTGTATGCTAAATTATTAAATTAATATTAATTGTATATATTAAATTATTAAATTAATTTATTTATTTCTGCATGTAATATTGATTTTTTTGTTCTATTTATTATATCATGTTAATTTAGAAATTTTATTGGTTATGTTTTATATTAAATAATATTAGTAAATTAAAGTATTACATTTGTTTAATAATAATAATAATATTATTATTATTATTATGTCATGATGAAAATTAGATATTATGGTGGACTTTTATGCCAATTATTTTACTTAGATTTAATTGCCTCGAATTAAATTAGGTGGGAAGTTTTGATAGTTAATGTAAATTTAGATATTTTTTAAATATTTATATTATATAAGTTAGTATATATTAGTTGGCTACTTTGAAGCAAGTCACGTAAGTAGAAGAGAAAGGAAAAAATAACAGTGAGCCATTTTAGAAGAGAAAAAGGAAAAGAGAGAAAAAGAAGCTTGACCGGTGTAGGTGATTTTACCCGACTACGCACAACCGGCGGATTTGTTTCAAATCCATAAGGCAAGTTATTATCTACTTTTCCCCTTTGAATCCATAAATAAATTATTTAATTTATTTCGGTTATTTTGGAGCATAGAAAGCATGCTAGGATTTTAATAAATTATCATTTTTAGTTTATTAAATTAGTGAAATATTAATTATTTAAGGGTTAGATATTATTTTATTAGCCTATATAATTAATTATAGCTAAAATATTTATTTAAGGCTTTAGGAATTTTTTTATAGAATTTTCTAGAATTTTTCAGGAATTTTCTGTAATTTCCGGCGAGACTCCGGCGAGGTTTCCGGCCACCGGTAGTGAGGAAGGTGACCGGAGTAATCTGGTGTGATGCGGCGTATACTAGTTACCATGCGTGCAGATCATTAGCCGTCAGATTTGCTAAAGATCATTAGATCAATTCCATGTAGCGCATCACTCTGTATTTTGGTGCATACACATCGGTAGCCGTTGGATGAGTTTATCATCTGTAGATCGATTTGGTACGACGCGCATACAGGGAGAGGATGCAGCCAATGAACCAGGAAGCGCCGCGTCAGCAGGGCACCATTTCGCGCTCGTGGCAGACTCCAAACCCGCGTGGAGGCGCATGTAAGCGCATGCGCGTGTGAGAAACCTTGGGCCGCGAGTGGGGAAGCTTTGGGAGGCGCGTGTGGGACCCCTACAGCTACTGGAAAAGTCTAAAATACCACTAGGGATTGTTTTGTAATTCCCAGACCTTCAACTTGAATTTTTGGGTCGAGGGTTGGTAGTGACGGGTTTAACAGGACATTAAATTATTATTTTTAGTACCCGTTAATTATTATTATGTCCGATTAATATTTCCAAACATTAATTATATGGTTTACAGTACAGACCGCTATGAACAGATGTAATTAATGTAATAACATAATTGAATATTAAATTGTGTTGTTATTTAATGTTAAATGAAATGATTACATAATTTGATTAATACAAATTGTTCATTATACATTATAGGATTCTGCATGTTGTTAATGATATATAAATCATTACTATTATGCTATGTGCATTTCAGGTAATAAATGGGCTGTTAAATAAATTATGTCGTATTTATATTATATGGATGTGTTGCCATATAGAACCATGTGAGCTGACTAATAAGTTGAGACTCATTTATACCTTATGCATTCGTTGCCATAGACAAATGTGTGGCTGTCGAGATATGTGGTTTAATATTATTGGCATGTGTTGCCTAAGTGATATGCTCAGTATATTCATTTTAGTACCTTGTGATGTGTTACCACTATATAGGACTTATAGTCTGTGTTGTGAGTACCGTGCACCATGTATTAATAACTGATTTCCCAGGTAGAGAAAGGAGACACTTAACCACCTCGTGTGAGTCTAAGTGATCACCGTCTATTCTGGTTGAGGTAATATTATACATTGTGTAGTTTAATTAGGGTGTATACAGATATAGTATACTTCCAAATTATAATGATTACGTTATTTGATTATCTGATTTGGGTCATAGTAGAGAGGACTTGCTCATGGGGTTGACCCACCATTGTTGTTATTTCAGGACACGGTCAGTACCCGTTTCAAGGTTGAGGCTTAACAGTGTGGGACCACCATCCGAACTCATCTACTCTTACGGTCTTATCCAAGGTAGAAGTTTTATGTATTATTTTAATTTTAGTTTTATTTACTTCCGACGTTGAACTTTCAAGTTTATGTATAGGGATCCTTGACATAGGATTTCCAAGTTGTATAAAAGAGTATTGTATTTAATAAAGGATGGATGGATGTTTTATCATTTAGTTTTCCTTTCCTGTCTAAGTTCTTCTATTATTATCATTTTGTATTCCATGCTTGTATATTACCAATTGTTTTTTATATCTCTCATTTTTCATGTCTAAGCCTGATCAACTTATGCGTGAAAAATGCGGGGTGTCACAGTTGGTATCAGAGCATTCCAGATTCGAGTGCCTTAGGGATCTGTGGTTACTATACTTCCGCGTTGTGTATTCTGATAATTAGAGCCTAAGTCTTAGGATTCTTTGTACTCTTTTAGTCGGTCCATTATAATGTACTAACGTTAGATTTTCTAATTCGACAGAAGAATGGTTAGACGTGGGACAAGGAGTGCGAATAGAAATCGCAGTAGTTCCCCAACTCAAGATGAGTTTACTCCTCAACTTGCTGATATCATTGCACGAGCTGTAGTAGTAGGAGTAGCATCTGCTTTACGAAACTAGCAACCTCCTCAGATGGCACCTGCTCCTGAACCGGTAGTACAGCCAATGTCATGGGACAAAACTCGTCACTCGTTCATCAGAGGGAATCCACCATCATTTGCAGGGTCCACAATGTCATGTTAGCATATCAGTGGAAATAGGAGAGCGAACGTCATCTTCGGATGGTAGTCTGTACCGAAGTACAGAAACAGATGTTAGCTACTTTTATGCTAATAGGCAATGCGTTGCAGTGGTGGGAGTCTATCATTACCATTGAAGAGAGGACCAGATTGACATATGCTGAATTTCAGACTCGCTTTGATAGCAAGTATTTTCCCTTGTCAGTAAGATCTGCAATGAATACTGACTTTCTGGATCTACAACAGGGGGATATGACTGTGGCCGAATATGAACAGAGGTTCATTAATTTGTCTTTATTCGCACCAGAGGAGGTGAATACTAAAGAAAAGAAGAGAGACCATTTTGTTAAGGGGTTAATATGGCCAATTAAGATGGTGATCGTAGGTAGTCCTGCATATACTACTTACATACAGGTGGTTAATGCCGCTTTACAGCACTGCCAGATGAGGAGTGATTACTGAAAATCCAAGGGAGATAAGCGAGCTGACACAGACTTCACTCACCAGACAGTGGAGAGGGGAAGCAGTAGTGGTACCAAGTTTAATGACCGGGGCAGAGTTCAAGGACATCAACCTTGGAAGAAAAACAAAGGAAACACAGAGGTGCAAAGAGATGGGGTTCCTAATCAGGGTAGACAAGTTGGGGTACCTCAGACTGGACAAGAACAGTTTTCAGGAAATCAACAGAGGAGGCAGATAGGTCCTTTTCAGGGACGTTGTTATCACTCTAGAGAGATTGGGCATCCAGCCAACATGTGTCCCAAAGCTAAATAGGGATAGTACGGGCAGCCGAGACCTAATCAGCCATTACCTTTACCGGCCCCACAGATACCACGTGGGTAAGTTCAGAACTTTCCGGCACTTCCAGCACCACCACTTCCTCAGGGACAATCTCCACAACAGTTACACCATGGCAGGGTATATAACTTCATGCCACATAATAGACAGTCTCCTCAGGCTATTGAGGGTATGTTTTCTATGCATGGTAGATCTGCTCGTATACTGTTTGACACTGGTGCATCACATTCTTTTGAGTCTAGATCTTTTGTTATCTTATCTGGTATGACGACTCAGTTTTGTGACCAACCTCTCAATATTTATACACCATTGGGGGTTGGGGGTTGGCGCAATTTTGCGAGAGTGCTGCGGTGATGTTCTTATAGATATGGGCCGGCTTCGATTTCTTGCAAATTTGTTAGTTTTAGATATGCATTCTTATGATGTTATACTTGGGATGGACTGGTTATCTCAGTACCATGCTCAGGTTAACTGTTACGAAAAGTCTATTGTATTTGCCATACCAGGACAAGAGATGTATCTTATTGTTGTACCACAACCTGATAGAGGGCCTAGCACTTATTTATTCGTTATTGAGGGGGACTCACAGGAAGCGACCGTGGTATCTCTTGACAGCATTCCAGTAGTGCAGGAATTTCAGGATGTATTCCAGGAAATTCCAGACTTGCCACCGAGTCGGGAGATAGACTTCGTTATTGACTTAGCTCCCGGCACTACGCCTATTGCTAAGGCGCCATATAGAATGGCACCAGTGGAGATGCGAGAGTTGAAAGATCAAATTTAGCAGTTGCTCAGCCAGGGATTTATTCGTAGGAGTACTTCACCATGGGGAGCACCAGTATTGTTTGTTAAGAAGAATGATGGATCTCTTCGTCTTTGTATTGATTACAGAGAACTGAACAAGGTCACTATTCGCAACAAGTACCCGTTGCCCAGAATTGATGACCTGTTTGATCAGTTGAAGGGAGCTACTTACTTCTTGAAGATCGATTTGAGATCTGGTTATCATCAGTTACGAGTCAGAGAACAAGATATTCCAAAGACAGCATTTCTCACAAAGTACGGATCTTATGAGTTTTGTGTTATGCCTTTCGGCTTAACTAATGGCCCAGCTGTCTTTATGGACTTGATAAACAGAGTGTTCAGAGAGTACTTAGATCAGTTTGTCATTATTTTCATTGATGATATTCTGGTTTAGTTTAAGTTGGAGAAGGACCATGCTAGACATTTACGCACCGTCTTGCAGACACTTCGCGAACATCAGTTGTTTCCAAAGTTTGAGAAGTGTGAACTTTGGTAAAAAAAAGGTTAAATTTTTGGGCCATGTAGTGTCAGAAGAAGGGTTAGCAGTGGATCCAGCCAAGGTTGCGGTAGTTATGGAGTGGGGACAGCCTACCTCACCAACAGAGATTCATAGTTTTCTGGGATTGGCGGGGTATTACCGCAGGTTCATCCAGGGATTTTCCAAAATTGCGGGTCTACTTACTCATCTGACCAAGAAGAATGTACCATTTGTGTGGGATGGTTCTTGTCAGACTGCTTTTACTGAATTAAAGAGTAAGTTAACTTCTGCACCTGTCTTACCCACACCTCAGAGTGGAATCGAGTATTTGGTATATACCAACGCTTTTCTGAAGGGTTTGGGTTGTGTGTTGATGTAAGAAAAGTGACCAGTTTCTTATGGGTCCCGGAAGCTTAAGCCTCATGAGCTTAATTACCCGACTCACGATTTGGAGTTAGCAGCAGTGGTTTTTACCTTGCGTATATGGAGGCATTATCTTTTGGGGGAAACTTTTTGATTATTTAGTGATCATAAGAGTTTACAGTATTTGTTCACCCAGAGGGAACTGAATATGAGACAGCGCAGATGGTTAGAGTTCGTGAAAGATTATCACTTCTCTATTCAATATCATCCAGGGAAAGCGAATGTAGTAGCAGATGCACTCAGCCGCCAACCCTATGTCAGCCTTTCAGCTTTGTTTGCTACAGAGTGGGATACTTTGAAGGCTGTTGATGAGTTAGCAGAAGCTTTTATGGCATGTGTGGTAGTAACTCCTTCTATCATTCACCGGGTCATTAAAGCTCAACTCACAGATCAACAGTGTATTGATCGGGTTTTGGAGTTAGCTTCAAGCGATGTTCCTTTTTATTCCATGGGTACGAATGGAGGATTGAGGTACAAGGGACGTTTAATTGTTCCTTCAGCTGACAACTTGAGAAATGTTGTGATGAGAGAGACACACACTTCTTAGTTCTCTATACATCCAGGGGGAGACAAGATGTATCAGGACATGAAACGCTAGTTTTGGTGGGCCGGCATGAAGAAAGATATAGCTATCTTTGTCTCTAAATGCAGCACTTGTCAGATGGCTAAGATTGATCATCAGAGACCGCTAGGATCTTTACAGCCACTTCCCATACCCGAGTGGAAATGAGAGAGTATTTCCATGGATTTTATAGAGGGATTACCTACTTCACATCATAATCACAATTCTATTTGGGTCATTGTTGATAGATTGACCAAGTCCACTCATTTTCTGCCTGTTCGTTCAAACTTTACGTCAGAACAGTATGCTAAGCTTTATATTGCAGAAATGTGAAACTGTATGGCGTACCATTGTCCATCGTATCAGATAAAGATCCGAATTTTGTATCAGGATTTTGGAGCAGTTTTCAGCAGGCTTTGGGTACAGAACTTTGTCTTAGCACTGCTTATCATCCTCAGACAGATGGACAGACAGAACGAGTTAATCAAATTTTGGAAGACATCTTGCGGGCATGTGTTCTTGATTTTAAGGGCAATTGGGAGGAATATTTGCCGATTTCAGAGTTTGCTTATAACAATAGTTATCAGAAAACTATTGGTATGGCACCGTTTGAGGCTTTGTATGGTAGACCGTGTAGGTCTCCTGTTTGTTGGCTTGGAGTTGGCAAGAAGAGCTTTTTGGGTCCTGAATTTATTAAGGACACGTCAGAAAAGATCGCTATCATTAGGGATTGGGTGCGTACAGCTCAAAGCAGACAGAAAAGTTACGATGACCGTCGAACTCGTGTTTTGGAGTTTAAGGTTGGTGATCAGGTTTTACTTAAAGTTTCTCCCATGAAGGGAGTAATGCGGTTTGGGTCAAAGGGTAAGTTATCGCCTCGTTTTGTGGGTCCTTTTATGATTACAGATCGGATTGGAGCAGTAGCTTATCATCTGGCTTTACCAGATAATCTTCATAGGGTACATAATGTCTTTTATGTATCCATGTTGCGAAAATTTCTACGGGAAGAAGACAGGTATCAACACATTGATGTGGGTGAGATTGAGTTGCAACCTGATGCAACCTATTTAGAACAACCTTACTGTATTCTGGATTGTAGGAATCAGATACTGCGCACGAAGACAATTCCATTAGTACGTGTACAGTGGAGTCATCATAGTGAGACAGAGTTTACTTGTGAACGGGAAGATATTATCCGTGCCAAATATCCAGAGCTCTTTCCTACAGGTATGTAATGAATTTCGGGGACAAAATTTCTTTATTAGGGGGGGAGAATGTAATACCCCGTATCTTTAAAGGATTTATTTAAATTACTTCTGTATTAGGTTAATTATTTAATGTGTAGATTTATTCACCTTTTCATTGTGCATGCTAAATTATTAAATTAATATTAATTGTATATATTAAATTTTTAAATTAATTTATTTATTTGTTCATGTAATATTGATTTTTTTGTTCTATTTATTATATCATGTTAGTTTAGAAATTTTATTGGTTATGTTTTATATTAATTAATATTTGTAAATTAAAGTATTACATTTGTTTAATAATAATAATAATAATAATAATATGTCGTGATGAAAATTAGATATTATGGTGGAATTTTATGCCAATTATTTGACTTAGATTTAATTGCCTTGAATTAAATTAGGTGGGTAGTTTTGATAGTTAATGTAAATTTAGATATTTGTAATATTTATATTATATAAGTTAGTATATATTAGTTAGCTACTTTGAAGCCAGTCACGTAAGTAGAAGAGAAAGGAAAAAATAACAGTGAGCCATTTTAGAAGAGAAAAAGGAAAAGAGAGAAAAAGAAGCTTAGACCGGTGTAGGTGATTTTACCCGACTACGCGCAACCGGCGGATTTGTTTCAAATCCATAAGGCAAGTTATTATCTACTTTTCCCCTTTGAATCCATAAATAAATTATTTAATTTATTTCGGTTATTTTGGAGCATAGAAAGCATGCTAGGATTTTAATAAATTATCATTTTTAGTTTATTAAATTAGTGAAATATTAATTATTTAAGGGTTAGATATTATTTTATTAGCCTATATAATTAATTATAGCTAAAATATTTATTTAAGGCTTTAGGGATTTTTTTTTAGAATTTTCTAGAATTTTTCGGGAATTTTCTGTAATTTTCGGCAAGACTCCGGCAAGGTTTCCGGCCACCGGTAGTGAGGAAGGTGACCGGAGTAATCTGGTATGATGCGGCATATACTAGTTACCATGTGCATAGATCATTAGCCGTAAGATTTGCTAAAGATCATTAGATCAATTCCATATAGCGCAGCACTCTGTATTTCGGTTTATACACATCGGTAGCCGTTGGATGAGTTTATCATCTGTAGATCGATCCGGTATGACGCGCATACAGGGAGTGGATGTAGCCAACGAACCAGGAAGTGCCGCGTCAGCAGGGCGCCATTTCGGGCGCGTGGCAGCGCGTGCGCGTGCGTGGCAGACTCCAAACTCGCATTGAGGAGCGTGTAAGCGCGTGTGCGTGTGAGAAACCTTGGGCCGCGCGTGGGGAAGCTCTGGGAGGAGCGTGGGGGCACGTGTGGGACCCCTACAGCTACTGGAAAAGTCTAAAATACCCCTAGGGATTGTTTTGTGATTCCCAGAACCTTCAACTTGCATTTTTGGGTCGAGGGTTGGTAGTGACGGGTTTAACAGGACATTAAATTATTATTTTTTGTACCC